TTGAAACATGCTTCCCTTCTTTGTTATTAGAGAAGTGTTCTGTAAAATAAGGTGTGGTTAGACATTTGCAGACAAGTATCAGGGTTCATAAAAACAGCCTTGAAGTTAATATAATTGCAAATCACCACTCACTTCTCCCAGGAATTATGCAAGAGTTGCTCTACCTGAAGTTACTGTAGACACAATGACTTGGAATTGCCTAAGTTTTAATAGGCAGATATAAATCAGAGAAGCATAGGATACATTTCCACAGTTCTCCCAGGGGTGTTGCCTTGGGGTCCTACACAACTTTTGTTGAGGCCATTTAGTAAAAAGCAATCCTTTATACGTAATATAACAAAATTCCTGCAAGAATACAAATGGTGAGTAGAAAAAAGCAGAAAATCCTTGAGTATTTTAGCTTAGAACTTCACTAACACTACTCTTCTGCTCCAGTACTGTCTGATCAGGCTAAAGGGCAAAGGGTCAGGCTAAAGAGGCAATGGCATCAGTCCTGCCAGTGTAAGGGCTATGCAGAAGCAGTTAAAGTCTTTTAGACTGGAGGCCTAACATTCAGCACTTCAGCCTAGAGCAACAAGAAGGCCGTGACAAGTTCTGCAAACTGCTGTGTGCTAGCTACAACATGTTCAGTAAATGAGGGAACATAAGTACGCAAGCTTCAGAGTATAATCAGGAAATGCTTGTTTAAGCATTTAAGGGAACAGAAAGTTTTCCCTTCATCTCCATCATTCCAAGCATTAGAAACCACACAACTGTTACACTAATAGGATAAGAGGCTCCCATCATGCAACCCTAACAAAATGGTCTATTTGTATTGTCTGCATTACATCGCAGAGATTGGGTGATTACTCCCACTCAGATTAGCAGTTCATGCAGTAAAACAGAAGCAGCACTACATACAGTGAAACAGTTCTGGGGAAGGTATTTATTTTTCCTGGCTGGTGAGAATATGAAATAGACAAGTTGGAAGTGAACTCAGTTCTGACGCTAAAACTGGTAGGTATATTCTCTACATTTCTCTTAAGCTGTTTTGTTTTCAATACTTTCTTGTTCCAGCAGATTCTCACTGAGCATGCTGAATTGAGCAAAACATCAGATTAGACATTTATTCTTTAATTAATCCAAATTCCTATTTGTCAGCAGCAAGAGTTATAGTGGTTAAAATTCTGCATTAGAGTCAAAAAAGCTGTGACTGCTATGGAATGGTTCTATTACAAGCTAAACTTGGAATGCTGGGGTTTAAACATTTCAATAACCTATCTGTTCAAGTCAGAAGACAAAACCACATCTATACCTTTGAAGATGTTTTAAAGATGCACAGAAAGGATGAAAAATATTTTATGCACAGCAGAAAAATCAGATTTTAAGACAGGAATTTTCTTCAGTGCTAGATGCAGACCAACAACAAAATTGAGAATCAGATGAACACAGGGTCCCCAGAAGGATATTAAGAGTAAATAAAGCTTTAGAGACATGACAGAACATGATTGAGCAAAGGAAGCTTATTTTCTGAAATCCAAGATGCAGGAAAAGAGTTGTCATCAATCAAGTTGACCCAGGCATTGCAAAGGAAATTAAATAGCCAGCAGCTCTGTAACATCTCTGTTCTCTGCATAGCTATACAATGCAGGTAGACTAACAAAATTAACAAAGACAAAGAAGGGTACTGTTGGGCAGGGAAGTTAACCAATTTGACAATGTTCAGTATTTCAGAAGTTACTTAAAACCAAAGGGCTGTCTAAAACAGTGGACAGTGTACTGCTCTGCAAGAGAAGCTGTCATGCTGGAAAGAAGTCACCTGTCAACCTTCTTCTGTGAGACCAATTTCTTGAACAATTTCATGTAATCACTCAAAGCCAGAAGTCAGGTGAGTGGTCAGTAGCTTGGGTTTGCTTACACTGAAACTAGAGAGCTACATGAAGCTGACAGCACGTGTCAGTCTTAAACAGACATTAATCCAGTCATCAAGAACATAAATAATACAGTATGAATGCTTAACACTGCCATTCAGGAAACAGTGCAAAGACTCCTGCTATAAACAGAGCTCAGTGAAGCTGAAAGAAGAGCTTGCACATACCAGTCAATCCAAGTATGACAAATTTGCCAGTTCTTAACTCCTGAAGAGTTAGAGGCAAGAAACATAGCTTGTCTTGAACAGCAGGCTCAGTCAGATAGTGAATGGAATTACATGCTGCAAGCAGAGACAGCTGGAGCCTGAATTTTGATGCATGTGACCAAATCCTGTTGAATGATGAAGCCAAGTGTTGTCACTATTGACAGAACAAATTCCTAGCAGAAAACTAGAATTAAGAATTAAGCAGCAGCAACTAGAATCAAACTACTGCAGCAGTACAGCTTAGCAACAACTATATGGAGAAAACTCAGATGCATGATCACGTACAGGTAACAGATATATCAACAGACAGAGCTCTTACTGAGGAAAAGGATAAGAAGAAAGTCCACCCAATAAAATTCTTCTAGTGAATAAGACATTAATCAAAAGAAGAAAAAAAAAAGGTAGAATAATTAGACAAGGGAAAGGAAAAGATTGCCTGCAGTCTGAGGTAAGGCCTCTTTTTCTTTTGCTGCTTTGGATGGCAAAATAAAGGCCTGATGTTTGTTCCCTGCAACAGTCTTTGCATGCAACCTTGATGAGGCCACAAGAGGAATAACACTTTGCCTAAAATAGCTGTTCTCCATCTCCCAAGTCATTTTGTACCTGCTCACTTAATGTCAAAACCAGGCAGCTCCTGCTGATAACGCTGAGCTAATAAAGCTGCAGAAGGGACGAATGCAATCTATTCTTATTCTGCCTCTTGCTTCATAGCCACAGCTGTCAGCTAAATTCCATAGCTGCACCTGTATCACCGATAAGTTAAGAAAAGTTAGAAGAAAAACAAACTACAGACACCACATAAGCTCACATCTTTCAGTGGAAAAAACTTAACTCTGTGCAGTCACTTATTGTTATGACCACAATTTCAGAATAAACACAGTCCAGGAGCAGATCAGTGGAGCACTAATAACTCATACCAGTGTTGTTTAAGATCCTGTACTGCATTGGACAACAACGGCTTTTCTAGACCCTGGCTCTATTCCACTCATCCTTCAGTTGTTCTCCAAGCTCACTCACGTAGTTGCTAGCAGCTTGTCATCATAACCTGAGCTTCAACATTTTTTTCTAGTAGACAATACTGTGTCTGTTAATGGTCTATGGGTCTCTTGCAACAGATAAGTGAGATTTAATACCATGACAAAGAGTGAATACTTGCATCAGCAACTACTCTTCATCACCAGAAATTTAAATACATAATAAGCTCTGCAACTCCAGTAAGACAGAGGAATCTCCCAAGCTGGTGCTGAAACTCCTCAGTCCCAAGCCCAAAACATCTTCAAGTGCAATTGGTCTTCTAAGAGCTGGTTCTAAAACTTGGCTTCTCTCAAACCTGTAGGTAATTTGAAGAGTTGAATCCAAGACCCGTACACTCTGGGTATCCAACAACTTAGTAAGTAATGGAAAGGCACTAAGACTGAGTTAAAGATTCTACAAGAAGTTTGTGCTGATAGTTTGAAGAACTTGATGACAACTTAAACAAACCCCATAAAAAGCACCAAAAAGGTGGCTTTGAAGGAGAATTGGTTATAAAGCGCATGTATCCTAATAGTAACAAAGAAACATTTTTTATGTTATTTCCTTTTTCCAACTCACCCAAGAGTCTGTCAGAAGCTGAAACACCAAACACTGATGCTTCTTGTTTGGCGGTTACAGAATTTGGAGACTTTGGGGAATTCTGTTTCTGCTCATCCAATACTGCTCAGCTCATTCTTTTTCTTCTTTAAAATACCTCTGAACTGGCATGGCCTGCTGTCAGTCAAGCTCAAAAGTCATTTGTAAACATTAGAATACACTGAATGCAAACTGCCTGCATTTGAGACAGTTAGGAGAACACCGGATTTAGAGATCCTTTAACAAAACTTGGAAGCATTTTACATGCAAGGTACCAATCAAAATGCAGATTCCACTGTGCATACACATAAAAACACATCCTGAATCCATTCTGCATGGACTTTCAGCCTCTTAGATGAACCTTACCAAGTTTCTTTTGAATTTTCAGTTCAAAATCTTACTATCCATAACACTGAATCCACTGCACTTTAAAATGCTCAGAAGTAATTCTACAACTTTCTTTCAGTACCATCATTTGCAGATCCTGGAGTGGTTGTTTTTTTTCAGAAATTTGATTGCTAAGGCAAATTAAAGAGTGAACATGAGGTAGCAGAGGTTAAATGAAAAATGGATTCCGAGAGATCGAAAAAGAATAAGCATCTCTCCTCTGAATAATCTCACAAACCAAGGAAGATTCTATACCCAACAAAAGTGCTACAATGCCATGTTAGATTGCCATAACCACTAATCCTATTTGTGGGCCATGCTACCAAGTGCAGAGCATCTATTAAGTGATTACAAAAATACTGCAGAAATGGACACAGAAATCTTCTTAGCACAACTGGCAGTCACAACTAATCTTACAAGAGAACAGCTGCAGTCTCTCCTCCTCCCACCTTTGAGGTATTTTTCTCTGTATTGATATTGGTTGAAGCTAAAAATACCTTTGGCACATTGTAATTCTATTAGTATTCTAGCACACAAGTGCTTTTCTTCTTTCTGTAATTCATCTGTTCCTAAAACAATTTACTAATGGCTTTAAGCATATCAGCTGCAAGCACAGCTGATCTTGATTTCTAAGAGAACAATTTAAAGAAGACAGAGAAATATTTTCCCCTTTATACACTGCTGATTTAAAGCTATCTGTATTCTGATGCTTCTGCTAGAAGCTGCAAGGCCTGTGACATTGGCTTCCAGCCAATGAAAGATTAGAAAGATTTACTGAATACATACTGACCTTTAGCTCTAAAGCATTCCCAAAGCTGCTGTTGTTCATTCTGTCCCCCCACAGTTCCATATAATGCACAAAAGCAGCTGCCCATTGTACAGTTACCTATGGAGATGCATCTCCTCCAGCGATGACACAAGGGCATGATGTTCATTCTGTCTTGCATCAGCTGCATGAAGACAAAAACAGCAGTAGTCCTTCAAAGATCTCTACAGCATTAGCAGGTCTCAAAGCTGATTAAAGCGATCCTCTTGGTAGTCTGTGAAATACATGTTTTGCACTTTCAAATTGCTCTGCAATGGATTCTCAGGAGGAGAGTGTGCAGTCTGTGTCTGCGTATAACCACACAAGAAGACTACTGTGGCTTTCCCTGGAACATTCTAATATGTTTCAGCAAAAAGGAGAATTTGACATTGCCCCAATTCCTGCACTCGAAATAACCATCCACCTGCTACTGGGCTCTGACCCTTCCATACCAGGTTTCAAAGCACGGATTTTTTCAAGTGAAATGCTAGTAAAAAGACACAGTAGAATTCAACTTATGTTCCCTTTGGAGCTGCTATCTGCAGTGTTAGAGGTTATGAGATTGATTCATCTTCGCAGTTACAAAAAAGGAATTCGTTTTTGTTAAACTTACTTTTCCTTGCCTCTGAACAGGATGCCAGTGTTTTCTGGATCTCAAATGAAAAGGTTAATAAAAGTCCATTCAGCTACTACTTCAGGTAATAAAAGTCCCTTGCTTTTAAAGAAGGAAAGTAGTTTTCCTTTCTTTCACCCATAGTACCCCATAAGTCTATGCCCTTCTTTTGAGTCACATATACTTCTGTGGTCCCTATAGCAGCTTTCCAGGGTCTTTCCCTGCTCCCCTCCAGACCATTCACTTGCATTTTGGATGGGGACAAGAAAACAAAGCATCAGCATCATACTTAAAGCTTCACAGGGCAGCCCTGTGAGACGGCTAGGATTTGGCTTACTACATCATATCTTAAGCTACCTTTCCAATACTGCATATGCCTTCCGGGACATTTCTCTGTGGAGCACCTCACGCTGATGCATGTGGAGATCTGCTCAACATGGTGCCCGTGGGCTGCAAGGGGACAACCTGCCCCACGGTGGGCCTCTCCTGGACTGCAGGGATCTGCTGCTCTGCACCTGGAGCACCTCTCGTCTTCCTTCTGCATTGACCTTTGGGGCTGCTGGGCTGCTTCTCTCCTATTTCTCATCCCCCTCTCCCAGCTGCTGTTGTGCAGTTTTTCCCTCTCTTCAATCTGCTCTCCCACAGGTACAACCAGAATAGCTCACGCCTCAGCTCTGCCCAGCAGTGGGTCCCTTTTGGGGCAGCTGAAGCTGGCTCTGGTATGCCACAGGGCACTGTTGGGCTCTGCTCAGGGGCCACTCCAGCAGTTCCCTGCTCTGTTAGTTTTGTCTCTCCACCACACCAACATAACGCTACCTATTGCAGAGCAGAGTTTTGTTTACACCAATGCAAAACCAGATTCAGACACGAGGGGTCTGTTGGGCTGCAGGCTGGTGGAGCAGAAAGCCAGAACATCACCTGGCAAAGAGCACAGCTATGGCTGGTAAGGGATCATCAAGTAGAGGGCGTCAAATATTCATGAGCAAGACAATGACAGGAAATCACAGAGGACACTGCTAGCTACAATAAGTGTTTTTTCCTCAGGAGAGGAAGACACTCACAATTTTATTTGCTCTTATCTAGCTTTCATTAGGGAAGTGTTGCATAATACATGAGGAAAACATCTGAGAACAACGTTTGAGAACATTATCTGCTCCCTACACAGATGAATCTGTGAGCAAAACATATTGTATCTGTTTGTACTTTGCTGAGTACTTTGCTGTAGCCAGTTTTTTCTACCAAAAATGCTAAGAGCTTGCCAGCTGACTAGGGCAGCCTGCATTCTTGGTGCCCTACTATAGAGCACACAACTGACTTATCTCTACCCAAACCCGATCCAGGCTGGCAAGATGGGAAAACAGACTGCTGTGTTAGCATACCCACAGGTAGGAAAGCTCAAAGCACTGGACTGCCCAGCCCAGAAGGGTCCCAGCAGGATGCTGGCTGCTGTTTGCCCTGAGTTCCGTTAGCTCTATGCAACCTCAGAGCTACCATAGCCATTCCCAATTTCAGCATCTTACTTCAAAGGCTCAACTGCAGTTGAAATGCATTATGATGGTAACACCTGCCTAAAACTGTTCTGGATGAAGTTACAGTGCAAGTTACAGTATTTTATTTTTTAAAATGGAAAGTGGCTGTCATGGTTTTGTGATTTTTGGTCATCAGTATTCCACACCATAACATCATGTTATGCACTGGGGGGTATGACTTCTGCCAAATGTTCATCCGACAGAGAAGAACTACATTTCCCCAGGTAAAAAAATTGTACCTCATGCTCTCTAAAAAAGGCCATCAGGTCTTTTTGAACTTGGCTGCTGATGCACAACACATGAAGTCCATCTTTGGATTTGTATGCCCGAGCTACGTTTTTTGGACAGAAGATAATAAAGGATTATATGAAAATATAATCAGACTGCTTAACTTTGTCACATCATTTCTTTTCAGAGGCAAAAAGCCTTATCTAAACTCTTGTACTGTAACTAGAAGTTTTGCAAGACTTGTCCTTGACAGATGCGGTAGGTACGACAAGTGTATGTGCTGGCTGCTGCAGGGAGATTGACTTCACCATGACATTATGGCATTTTCTATACTGTCAGGTTTGAATATTACATCATTTCAAAAACTACGGAATTTATTTTGAAAAATCACTAAAACAAGGCTACCTCAACACATACATTAGTATATACATAGTCTAATGTCAATTAGTCTAAAGTCTAATACATTAGACTTTAGCGTCCGGGATTCTTGTGACTGCTCCAAATCATTTTAGAAGTACCATAAAAACCACATTCCTCCAGCCAAACTGCAGAGTATTTCTCCTTAAGCAAAATGGTCCAGCTCCAATTCTCTCTGAACCCATCTGTCCCTATCCTTTGATGGCTTGTGCATGTCTCCCTTTGCATTTCTCAGGCCAAGGAGGAGACAAATTAGCCATTTGCACAGTATACTCAACAACATGCACTGTCTAGTATCAATACTGCTTTATTACTGGAAATCCTTCCATGCATAATGCTGAGTATCAGCAACTCAGTATTGTCAGTTCCAGAAATGGAAAAACTGAGTCAGAAAAAAAGAAGATTTTGCAAAGTTTTGCTTTAAAAACATAATTACATTTTGAGTCTTGGATTTTGAGGTTTGGAGGTTTGCTCATTGGTTCTTTAAAAAGAAAAAAAAAAATACATTACCTATCTTCTCACCCCTGGCACTTTATATTAAAGGAGGTGTTGTATTGTCAGGGTTCTCTGCTGTAACAGCTTGTTTGTTTAATCCCCCCCTGCTTCAGGCCAAGGGCTCTTAGGAGGCCAGCAGATATCAGCTGGTTCATTTTATGTGGGAGGCTGCAGTAAAAAACAGGCATGCCATTGATATTTGTGAGAGTTTACTGGGTCCTTACTGAAATACAGCTGCAGGACAGAGACTTTTCTATTTCAGTACACATCTTTCTACCATTTACCATCCCTTTAGGAATCAGAACACACAAGCTTTTAAAAGGTGGTATTTACACAGGCAGAACCTCTTCTACTCCCATTCACCATTTCCCATGTTTTATTCACTAAGGAACCCTGAACAACCCAGAAGACCCTACAACCTTCTCTTGTGGGACAGCTGTGCTGGAGCACACATGGCTGCACCCAGTGTCTGCAGTGGCTGCTGCCACTGTCTCCTAAACAGCAAAATGGCAGGGGCTAGATCCTGTAGCACTCATCCACCTCTCCTGGCTGCTGAGTCCCCAACAAGCTGTGGGACAGAACAGGCAGTTTCCATCCCCCAGTTTCTCTGCAGTTAAAACATTTTCAGCATAGCCTCCTACTGCTCAGAGCTGACAAACTGCCACTGATCAGTCTTCCCAAATGTAGAACAAGGAGTGATCTTCAAAGCTTCACTGCTGTCCTTATTTAAAACAATTTCAAGTTAATTACCGGATGAACAAGCTAATGTTCATCAGTATGTCAACTGCTCTCTTACTTTTAGAGTTTTTTAAGCAACAAGGTGTTCTTCTGCACCTTTGTTCCTGAATTTGTAAAAGGCAATTACTTCTGGAAGCCAGGAGTATATTGTTGTAACAGTTCCACATCACACTGGGTGTCCTAATAATAGCTTTTCTTCCTACAGGAACTAAAATATTTGTGCTCCTCAAGGGCAAGGACTTTACAGGACTTCAACTGCTTAACTCTATTCAAATTCAGATCAAACTACTCCAGTGCCTATACCTCAAACACCTGCTGAGCCTCAGCTCCTTCATTCCACACAGAGAGGTGACATAAATGCATCCCACAAGTTGCAGATGAGCTGTGCATACTCTGTGCCCCATCAGCTGAACCAGCAGAGAGAAGCACAGTGCAGCACAAGGAAACCACAGAGGGCCTGCAGCTGCTCCCACCAAAGGAACACTGAGGAATGAAGGAAATGCCCTCCACCTCTGGTACCACCCTGGGGAAAAGGAGTAAACACACAAACCAAGCTTCTAGCAATGAGAAGGAAGACAAGACAGAAACAAAATGCCACAAATGGCTTAGGTGCATTTATTCCTGCTCTGCTGACTTCATGACTGCTGGCCACAAACCATTCCAATTAGCAATTGTGGTAAAAATCTTCATCTGCTACAAGATGTAAGTCATGCATGTTATTCTTTACAGCTATATTTAGACAAACTGTGTTTGTTATGTAACAGTTCGGATTCTCTTACAACAGAAATATAAATGGCATTTTGTTTAATCACTATTAGAGAATCTGTGTTTAACTACTGCCAGGACAGCCTCAGTGTCACTGAAACCCACAGGAGTTTTGCAGGGATGAATAGAACAATCCTCTACAGGTAACATGCTGCAGCCCCAGTCAATATTAGCTTACCAGATACTTCATTCAAGTGGGTTATTAAGATCTAGTGTGCTGTCTCAAAACAGACTGAATAGGTGAGGGTAGCACCCAATTAAGATATTTAATCTTTTTTCCTAGAGGCTGTGAATGACAGAATTACCATAAGACCATAAGGGTTGGAATGGATCTTGAAGTCCATCCAGCCCCAACCCCCTGCCGTGGGCAGGGCTGCCAGCCAACACATCAGGCTGCCCAGGGTCCCATCCAACCTGGCCTTGAGCACCTTCAGGGATAGTCCATAGCTTCTCTGGACAGTCTGTGGCAATGCCTCACCACCCTCTGAATGAACAACTTCCTCCTAACATCTAACCTAAATCTCCCATCTCTTAGCTTAAAGCCATTCCCTTTTGTCCTATCACTATCAGACCATGTAAAACATCACTTTTCATCTTTTTCATAAGCTCCCTCTAAATACTGAAAGACAGCAGTGAGATCCCCTTGGAGTCTTCTCTCCTCCAAGCTGAACAAAACACTTTGAACATTTCAAACCCAGCTCTTGTACAGACGGTGTTTGTCACACCATATATTAAAGAGATTTAAGAACAGTTTGCTGGTGGATTAAAACTGCTGAGATCAAGTTGGGCATTCCCAGTCATTCTACCAGCCTCCCAAATGAACAGGTGCTACAATTTAACCCAGCCAGCAGCTCAGCACCTTACAGCCTTTTGCTCTCTCTCACCCTCAGTGGGATGGAGCAAAGAATCAAAAAAGGTAAAAGTACAAGAGATTCAGGATTGAGATAAGAATATTTTGATAAAGAAAGATGTAAAAGAATACAAAAAGAGATGCACATTTGCTCACCACTGGCTGACCAACACCCACTCCATCCTTGAGCAACAGCATCCCCCCAGCCAACTCCCCCAGTGCCATTGCCCAGTATGACACCACATGGTTTGGGACATCTCTTTGGTCAGTTGGGGTCAGCTGTCCTGGTTCTGTCCCCTCCCAGCTCCCTGTGCATTCCAAGCTCCTCACTGGTCAGGAAGCATGAGGAGCTGAAACGTCCTTGGATTAGTGTAAGCACTGATCTACAGCAACCACCACATCAGTGTGTTATCAACACTGTTCTCACCTTGAATCACAGATCCATCCCAGCTGCTAGGAAGAAAAATAACTCTATCCCAGCCAAAACCAGGACAGCAGTGCAGTAACTCAGCACTTGCATTCAAGATCCTCAACTTATGCCAGAAGTTCAGGTACAACCAACTTCTGCTCATTTGCTCCTAGCTGGGTGTTGTTCAAGTCCTCCTCCAGTATCCATCCCTTCAAGATTTCTGTCAAGTACCTTTTCAGAAGAGTCACAACATAACACTTGCACCTGGCACTGGTTTTATATTATCATGCTGAACACTGACAAATGCACACAGAACTGCCAGGAAGACAAGACTTGTTAATAATAAAGCAATACATGTTGGTTCTCTCTTAAACATACTTCCCTAGCTTGAGCAAAGATTCAAATTCTGTATCATATCCTGGAAAGGGAATTAATTCTCAGAGCAGCTCAGCAGCCAGGGAGATCGTGGTGTAACATCGAGACAATAAGAGAATTTTCATTCCAATTCACTGTTAATCAATTTCCAAGTTAGTGATAGCATGCCTTGGGTCAAGAAACATGCATGCAAATACATGTAGTATAAACATGAAAAAATTAAAACTCAACAATTTCCAGTCTCTTGTTCTGCTTTCTAATGTTTGAGTAAGATTAATGTCTCTGGTGATTCATCAGGCAATTCATCTGTCTACAGATAAATTTTTTGTAAATTGAAGGGATACACACACTTGATTTTAATTTCAAAACCGTGCACCAAAGCCCATATTGCCATATCATCTACAGAGGACTCAGATTACTATACAATAAAAAATACATAAATAAAATCTATAAATGATGGGCTTATATTCCTCTTGTCCATAAAACCCTTGATCTGTAAAAGTTATTTGAAATACTGCTCTCTTTTCAGAAGGTGTGAAGTGAGGAAGAGCAATGGCTGGTGGTTTCCTAGTGCAAAATGGAAGCTTTAAAAAACAGCCAGGTTGAGCTACCCCTGGTTTCATGAGCACTCCACCTACCTGTGACTAAGGCACCTGTTCCCACCTGCTCACCATGTTTTGCAAATCAGCCTTATAGCAAACCTGGCCTCTGCTCGGCTTTTCTGTTCCTCTGTAGCTGTCTCAGCTGCATTTGACAGGAGAAAGATGCTTACAAATGGATCTTGTATTTTAAGCTGTCATAAAACATTGTACCACAACTTCTGAGAATAGATTTTCAGAAAAATAAGCACAATGGAAACCTGTTCTTTTGTTACAAGCCTTGCTTTACTGGGCAAAACCAGCTATACTTTCAGTCACATTTAAACCTGCTTGTTTTTACATTGCCCTATTTTTACATCCCCCCTTGTCCCAGTGCAAATGATTCTGACTGTACACAAAGCCACCAAGATTCAGCTGAAAACAGATCAGAATTGCTGTATTTCTCACACTTCATGCTTTCATTGTCTTTTCTCATTTCACTTCCACTTCCTTCTGCATGAACTCCTCCCTCTGGCCGCTATCTCAGGCTCTTTGCTCTCTGAACAAAGCTGTCAAATCTGATAACCAGAAGCCATAGATGTGCTAAAGGTAAGATGATTTTCATAGTTTTATTTAGTAGCTGTGACTTCAGGGCAAACTGTCTTCTTTGATCTCTTCATGTTCCCCAGACCACTGCTCAGTTCATCCACTCAGGCACATGCATGCACAGCCAAGGATCAGAAGCCTGATGCTGTTCTAAGTCTTGTCCATTAAAAAAGTCAAAAAGCCCACGTGCCTTTTGCAAAGATTAATCACCACCATGGTAATGGAGAAGAACTGCGCAAAAAGACTTCAAAAACCCACCTTTCCCATGTCAGTAACAGCCCCATGTCAACAAAAAGTGGGAATGCATTGGGACTTGATGAAGGCCAGTGCCTGAGCTTTCCCAAAGCACCTCAAGCACAGGAGACTTGAACACCAATTCCATAAAAAACAGTTCCTCAAGCAACAGTAAAGCTAGCGTACAAACCACCAATTTTGTTTTTATCTGAGATAGGATAGCACTCACTCATACTCCTATATTAATGGCCAAAGAAGGTCAGAGACAGACATCACTGTACACAGTGACCCTCTGTTCTCTCAGTACTCCGGCAATCTTCCAGTCTTGAAACCGAGGAGATGCGGATTCACATCTATGCTCACTGCTAACATCCATATCTGCAGTGGCAGCACGTCACATGACGGATGTGATACAAGCTGGATGCACCTCCAAAGCTGCACTTAGAGTGCAAGCTCAACCTTCCTTAAGAGAGAAGTACACCTTCATCAGCTGATTTTGTAGAATCGTAGAATCACAGAATCACCAAGGCTGGAAAAGACCTCCAAGATCACCCGGCCCAACCATCCACCCACCACCAATATCTCCTCACTTAACCATGTCCCTCAGTGCAACATCTAAATGCTTCTTGGACACCTCCAGGGACGGTGACTCAACCACCTCCATGGGCAGCCCACCCCAGTACATGACCTGTCCTTCAGAGAAGAAATTTTTCCTATTATCCAAGCTGAACCTCCCCTACTGCAAGTTGAGCCCGCTCCCTCTAGTGATACTGCTTGTTACACGATAGGACTAGACTACGCTAGTAATCTACTTCCATCAAGATAGCCCAGGACTATCAGAGTACAGTTCAAGTACTGATCTATAATCACTCCAAGAAAAAAAAAAAAAAAGCTTGCAGCATGAACAAATTAGCTCTGAGATGTCATTAGCCAACCAACTTTTGACTCCCTCTCACCAATTGGAACTGCCCTCCAGGTACAGCAACTGCTCCTCCACACCTACTTAAACAAAAAAAACCTATCACAGAAACTAAGCTTTTAAGTAAACAGGAGTAAGGTCTTGGTACATCTATTATTTAAAGCCATTAGTGAACAATTACAGTGAACTATCATCCTGACATCCAGCTTGTGCTCTGCTGCTAACTGGGGAGCCAACCAAGATATAAGCTAAAGGAGTATGATTCAATACCTATTCCTTGCAATTCAGCTGTCAGTGCTTTTTTCTCAAAAGCATTACTTCCATACTAAATAGGCTTTCCACTTCAGAAAGCTAAAACATTGATGTAGATGAAGAAGATGAAGTACCTGCAAACAGTGAAACACTATCAAACAAAATGAACACATTTTTATTCTATCCCTTTGTTGTTAATAACCTACTGAGTAAACACCAATGAAATGTGTTACCATGTTAAAACATTTTTAGTTTGCCTGTTTTAAGCAGCTTGAAGCTATTACAGCTCCTTGCATTTATTCACATATCATATTAACCCAGCAGTGTAGTTGATTTACTTGATTGGATTGATTGATTTTCACTTTCTATATTTAAGGCAAGAATTCTAGATTGTCATACAAGGGGAAAGCTTGAAAGTCAACCAGCTAAAAGAAAGAAATGCATTCCTCACCCCCGTGTGGCAGCAGCACTCGGTCTACATCCAAGACCACTGCCTCACAGCCTTCCACCAGGCCGAAAGAGAATCTGCTCCAAGCACCCTTCCCTTGGCAGGGCAGTGCACTGCCGGGACACCACGACCTGCCTGGAGGGGCGTGCAAGCAGGAAGAGTGGAGGGGGAGATGCGAGACAGCACACACATGTACATTGCAGGTTCTAGTCTCAGCAGAATGACAACACATTAGAAAAACACCTATCTTCCAATATACGACCTGCTGTATAGAAAGGTGCACAGCTGCCCTGATCAGACATGGGTAATAACCTTTTAGGGGTGAATTTTAACACTTAAGTACAGAAGAATGTGGCCCTAATGCAAACCAAACCAAGTATGGGCAGGATCCTCCACATTTCACAGTTGATCTCTGTAAGGGCTACAAACCCAACACCATCCATCTCACTGCTGCCAACTGCAGTCACTGACAAGATCCCAGCTACCAGACAGCCATGCTCCCCTGAAGATGCATCACTTCCTCAAGGCTGCACCCAACAGCAGCAGAACTACACCTTCAGTACTGACCTGCACTAAGCCAGGGCAAGTGGATGGCCCTGCATAGAGCAGAAACAGCTTTGATAAGGAACTCTGGAGATACGTCAACACTCACCAGGCTATACTGCTTGCTCCTGTCCTCTTGGATCTGAAGGACTTGTTTTGGAACACAGGCACATATAAGATTCACATAAACTCCTCCATATCTCCTTATGGGCTTTGCAGCTGTCTAATGTATAGATGTATGCACTTCACAGGCAGATCAACACTGAGAAATGCCAGGTGACAAACACAGGAGTAAGTGACATTCTAGACCCCAACAGTCTATGCACGAACATTAGCAGAACACCAGATGTTGAGGAAAAGATATTTAAATAGCACAACCCTGAGCACGCCAACAAGCACATGATGCAGCTGAGACTGCCTTCTGAAAGGGACATTTGACTATGAAGTAGGGAACCAATGTTTAAAACAACCTCCACTGAACTTCGGTGTTTCAAACTCATATATCCCTTCTGCTGGAAGGAGAAGGAAGAAAGACCAGCAAGAAGCAATTAGGAAAAACTTCTGTCAGCAAAGACTGACTGACAGGCTCTGATGAAGCCACAACCCTCCCTCCCAGCACAACCTCAGGCAGCCTCTGCCCAGCAGCTTTACCATGTGCAATCACAGAATCACAGAATGGCTTGGGTTGGAAGGAATCTTAAAGCCCACGCAGTTTCAGCTCCCTTCTACGGGCAGGGCTGTCAACCACCAGTCCAGGAGGCCAGAGAGGACCCCATCCAACCTGGCCTTAAATGCCTCCAGGGATGAAGCATCCACAAG